TATTGGATTCTCTTCTTAGAAAGCTATTGAGAGCGTAATCATGATATCAAAAAGATATATGACATATGGAGGATTCAATTGATTTCCCCTAATAATAAAGATCTGATGTCAGACCTATAGTCAATAGGAAAATTGTAGATTGTCTCCAATGTCCGACAAGTGATTGCGCAGTCTATTTAATAATCACGATCGAAGGATCGGGTTATTTAGTCTTTCTGTCTTTCACACACAAATTTGAAACTCCACAGTTTACGATGTCCGTTGAGATATTTCGCGATATTTCTGTTATCTTTGTGTTCTTTTTAGGTAGGGTCGTGCTCGGGTGTGTGAGAAGTGTTAGCAAATTTGCAAAGTATTTATATTTTCCATTAGCATCCATCCACGCACTTATGGCACAAAGGCGATGTGGAATTTTCCTTTCGTCTCGTTTAACCTGTCACTGACTATACACTGACTATTTGTTATTCAAAAGTTGATTAATTTTTTCTAAATTATGTATAAGCAAGATTGCTGTCGAGGACTCCACATGCTTTGAAGAATTAAAATGTTATTGCCCCTAATAACAGGTACAGCCTAGCTAAGTCGGTACGAATGAATGATTTATTAATTATAACAATCTTACCTTAACAATTCAATTCTGTATCTGGTGCTTACATCATCCACACGCAGTGTCGGAAATTGTTGTTAGCTTTCACTTCAAACGAAACGAGGATATTCTGTAAAAAAAAAAAAGTCGAAAATAAATCAAATTTTTAAAAATATACACACACATGAATGCTATTTAATTATTTTTATTGATGTTTATCCAAATATATCAAAAGCATATAAACGCGAAAATATGTTCATGTCAATATCGAATGTGCGTTACGTATGTGCGTTAGCACTTATGTCGAACATTTCCAATACAGCGATGGCAGCCATCCGCAAATTTTTCTCCTTTTGTGAAAATCAAGGAAAATATTGAAATTGATGTAAATGATATAAATACTTTGCTTGCACACAACATTTAAATGGATTTCGAATACAGTGTTGCGAACGTAATAAACGATTATATGTCCCATTAAATTTGCCATAATAAGCAAATAGGTTAATGCTTAAACAAAAATGTTTTTATGTTTTTTAAAATCTAAAACCGATATGAAAATAATTCATTTAAATCTGTCATAAAAACTTATGAATTTTTTAAATGACAAAGCATTGTATCCGAAAGGCAACCTACTATATATAGTATGTTACGCAATTACTTCTCCTAAGCTGGCACTTATCGACAACAACAGATTTACATAAAAACTATGAGAAACCAGTGAGTTCAACGCAATCTCTTCGTTTTCATGTTCACTTCAGATAAAGCTTAGTCACGATATGTTCCCAAATCGATATTACGCAGATTCTCGTCAGACAGTTGGAACTTGGTATCAAATATACTGAAATCGTGCAAAAATCTGGGGTTCAGTTGGAATTGGATCTCAAAAGCTAAGAGAGGACATTCATATGTCAATTTCATATTAAAAGGCTGATCGATTTAGAGGAGCATTTAAAGTTGCATCGAAAAAATTAATTTATAAAATCTAATCCGAGAAGATGACTATATCAGCCGATTACTGAGATGGTGAATATATCCGATTTGTCCATAGGCGGACATGCTTTACGCGGATTATACTTCTATCCGTTGTAAGGCCTCGATCTTCACGACATATCTTTCTCTTACTATATTATGATTTTTGTCCTAACACTATTTTTGTTTAGCTAACTAGAAGGCTATATAGCTAAACCGACTAAATTAGTATATTTGGCTAAGGCTTGGGTAATTAGGAACCATTGGTGCATCACTGACAACGCAGAATTATCCGTTGTTTTTCCTTAACGACATGTTGCTGATATGTTTTGTATTGCTGCAACAACATGTGTTGTTGCCTTTCATGTTATTGCTAACCAAAGAAATGCATTGATTTTTTTACGTTTTCCCTGTGCTTTGATTATACAAACAACGTTATCGTGTTTTGCATGTTTACTGTTTCAATTCCGCCGACCATAAACATCCAATCAAAGGAGAGAAAAACAGTACATTCGAACCAGGAGGACTATTAAATGCTCACTTCATCCTCTTTACATATTTTCAGATGGAGAATAACAAAAATTATCTCCTATGAACATATTAGGGTGAGAGAGTCACGTACACTCTTGTATAGATATTTTAACATAGTAAGTTTGTATGTCAGTTCGTGCAGATATAGATCCACCTTAAATCCTTCTTAAATCTTTTAAGGGGGCGCGTCCAAAACATACTTTTATAAAACACTTTTTCATATCTTTTTTTTTTCGATATGGAGGACCAGTTGGAAAAATAGCCCGATATTTTAATAATGTATGTTAGAACTTGTGATCTTATATGCAAAAATAAATCCACATTTATCAGAGAGAAAGATGGACAGACATCTTTAAATCAATTACAAACGAATTCTGAATCTGTCGGTGCATCTCAAGGCTCTCTTTTAGCGTTCAATAGAGTGAACGTCCCCTTAACAAAAATGTCGTGGAGTATAATAAAATCGTTGATCGAAATCAATCCAGAATCTCGGAGCGATGCTATTTCCAGCTAGTATTACTGACAAAAAAAAAAACGCACCTCTCGCTGCGCACTATTCACGAAAACCACTGTGCAAGCTGCGATGCCAGCAAAAAATTTCAATCAGATTGTCATACTGTTTTATTTCCAATCAAATGTAAAAAAATTGAACATAAAAAATAAATTACATTTACGTATATTTATATATGTTCGCGTGAAAAAGTCTTACAAAATTTTAGTATAGGATTTCTTTTCTTTCTTTCTTTTTTTTTTAAATATAAACAAATTATGCCGCGAATATGTAAAAGTTTTGAGAAACGCACTAAGGGGGGAATTTGTTCGCGCTGTCGCAAGCCATTCTCACCAATCGATCTGTTAGCGAAAAGGGCTTTAGATGAAAATTTGCCATCCGTGTCAACGCGTAGGCGAAACGAACGTAAACGTCGTCGATCAATACGAGTCAAAAAGTCTGACTTGCTCGACGCCCTTAGTAGTGGCTCTTCCGATGGTGGAGATTCTAATTATGTTAAGAAAAACTGCTCGGCTATTAGGAAGAATCAGCCCAGCACGGTTATAATACATAACAATCCTCGCTTTGGAGCCCCGGAGATACGAACCAGCTCGGAAATGCCGATTCAAGGAGGGAGCAATGGAACGCCCGAAAGTAAGACAGTCCAACAAAAATGCGAAAGTCAACTGACACAGGATTGTAAGTGCCCGCAACAAAATTTTAATAGGAATTCACATCCGGCAGTCGATGTTGATATGCAAAACCAAACAATTAATTGCAATACAAACGAGGAAACAGCAGCCGGGCAAAACGATCAATTCATTGGTTATTTCAGCGATGAAAATCCTACGACGATAATAAACACAGATGCTTCCGTACAAACCGCCCGTTTGTCGCGATCGTTTCACTTTTTGGATGAAGTTGATGCAAATTTGATCGCTTTCATAAAGTCTTTACATAGGATCGTGCATGCGTTTAAGTAAATTGAAAAATGTGTTTTTGTATCACTTTTCGACGAATGATTGTAAAATTTTAATATGTGTAAATAAATGAGCGGATGCAAGTGCTGGAGTTTGTCCTTTCTCTTCGATAAATAGTCCTATTCGCTCAAAAGTTTCTATTTACACGACCTGGGTTGACACCAAAAATACTCCATAGGTGAAATGTGGAAAATTCAAATATTTTCTGACGACATAATGAATTGTGGGATTAAAATAAGTTTCGAAATCACTTTTGCAGCATTGACGAATTGGTTTGGAAGGAAGTGTTTTCTGTAGTTTTTGAAGGAAGCGTCCTGCATTTTTTTTTTTAAATGAACCATAATCGTCGCTGATTTCCTCTAATAAATTGACGATGCTATTAATAATGCTCTAAGCTACCCTCCCCGATGATCATACGAGAATTTTCGAACACTACTTTCTTGTTGTTTTCGGTGTTAACTACTGTTAATAACCGAGTTGTACATCTTCAAGCAATTCATGACGAGTTTGGTACATTTGAATATGTCCCACGAAATGTCTAATGGAAAGCAAAAAAAAAAAAAAACATGCTAGCAAAACACCTAGAATCGGAAGGTGGAATGCCTCAAGTTTAGTATTTCCTCCACATACTATCAATATTCATATAAGTGTGTTGACAAATATATATTCATACTCGAGAAGCAATGTTCAAGTTGTCTGCAATACTCTGTTTGGCTGACACAGTTAACCGGTTAAGTGTAACGCTATATGTGTATGTACCTGTACGCATGCACGTATTCCCACCGGTGGATTCGTCTGTCCTTCTACTATCACTTAATGCAATTCTCATTGCCAAAACTGGGTGCTGCAAATATGGTTTTTTGATAGACGAGCGCAAATCAAGTGTAAGTAAAAAAAGGCATGATTCGTTCGCAGGCGCAATCTGGGTGCAAAAGATTTTTAAATTGGCATACAATGAAGTTTCAAAGTAATGAATGCTGTTAACAGATTGTAACCTGCGATGGATCTCGACATCAAATTCAAAGTAAATGTTTATAAGCGATTATCACAAACGGCTAAGAAGGGTCTTCACAGAAAAATTTATCAAAAACTTGACCTTGTTTACGGGCTGGCTTGAGGTGACGAGTGTTCAAGGTCCGCTTTAAGATAATTGCAAGTTCCCCGTTTACGGGTAACTAAGATACGAGTTATTGTAAATAAAAAGACCTCGAGATTAAGTTTGATTAAATTCAAGTGAAGATAGACGAACATGGAACTTTGGTAAGAGTTATAACAATTGAAAAATTGATTATTTGGCATTCAGAACTACGCTTATTTCATTATTATTATAATGGCGCACATTGTTGAAAGAAAGTGATATACGATCCTAGAAAAGCACACACACACACACACACACACACACATGTACATACACATACTTTAAATTTTCTTGCTTTATTTTCAGATGACTTGATTGACACTAATATGTACCATCAAGTACAATAAATTACTGCAACATTGTAACATCTCATTGGAACAAACAGAAAGACGAAGAAACCCCCAATGACTGAATTCCAAAGACTCTTTAAATTTTACAAAAAACCATATAAGAAATGCATTCATACGAAGAAATGCAGTTAAAGAAAGAGAAAATGTCAACGCGAACAGTGACACCGACTATACCGATAACAACAATACCGAAAGCGACAACATCAAATGTCAACTTGTTCGCAAACAAACATAACAACGTACAAGAAGCGAATTTATTCTATTACAGACAAGAGCGAGCATATCTCACAAATGATAATAATAAGAGTTTTCGTCACAGGTTTGTGTGGCAAAGTGCTCTGGTGTTTATGCTATTGTTGCCTTTGCCGACGATAGCTGCGAACAGTTTTAAAGCTTACGCTGCGCATAACGATAATTTTCACATAAAGTCAATCGCAATGCAGGACAGATTTAAGCAGCGAAATGCAGACAATGATGACGCCAACCTCCGTCCTCCTACCCAAGCGCGTGCCGCGCGCGATAGATACGTAACGAAGAACGTTTTCGACCAGACACAACGGATTCCGATATTTAAGCCTATCAGCACCGACATACGGCCATTAATGTTTTTAACGCCAAAATCTTTGAATTATAACAAAATAGTCGCGAACCCACACCAATCTGTTATCGGTGCAGCTGCAATTGCCAACACTAAGGCTTACCTAAATTGCACTGGTGATAAGAGCTCACAAGTTGAAAAGCTTTCTAATAAAGTTAATGGAGAAAACAATGGGGAACAACAACTAAGTTTAGAGAAATTATTAATAGATTATATTACAAAGTTTTTTGAAGAAGGAACATATGAACCTTTGCCGGGTCTGTTGGTTGAACTGAAAAAGAATACCACTAGCAGCGTTAACACAACGGATCACGCGAGAATTCCGAGAGAAGCCAAAGTCACCAGCGGCAAAATTATGCTTAAAGCGATGCCGCGGACAATGCAAACGGGGCGTTTATTGTTTTTAACAGGTTCGTTTTTACCCGACCGCGAGAGATCCGCGTGCTTTTCTCGCTTATTAAATAACTTAAAATATTTTCTATATTTTTGTTTATAGGTTTGAAAAAAATTTTATGGCCAATCTTTATGGGTTTACAAATATTCAAGTCGTTGCTAATAGCTATGTTTATACCGGCCATTATTGGATCATTTGGAAAACTAATAGGAAAGGGTAAGCGAAAGAATCACATAAGTTGATTTTCATGCGCTAAGCTTTGTCTTTTATACGTAATCAGGTATAACATCAGGTTCAGCGCCCTTGTTTATAAGACCTATGGAGCCGCCACAAGAGTTGGACTTTCGCGATAACACTTTGAATTTCGAAGACGATAATAAGTTTATAGTTACAATGGACGATACTAAAGATAACCCTGCCGCCTTTGCCTATAATCAAGCAGGTTTGCTTCGCTATTGAAATTTTCGCCTCATATATAAATGAAATTTTGTTTTTCTCTTTTCAAAACTACAGAGGCTTCGCAAGTTAATAACCAATATGCGTACAATTCCAATAGTCCTGGAACACGCTTAACTTTAAACGAACGCCAGCATCAGCTTATGCAAGATTCGTATCTTAATGCTTTACAAAGCCTGGGATCGGCATCATTTAAGAATTCCGGTTCGCTGTCAGGTTCTTTGTCGGGCGGGTCCTCTAGCCTGTTGGCACCAATGCGTAGTAAGCCAGCCGCTCCAGCAAATATCAATCGTTTTCATTCCTTCAAAAAAGTTCCCGATTCAAGTTTATTGCTCTCCAATTATGATCCCTTCTATAGTCCGTTGTTATCGCGTTTGGATTCAGTGTTTGCACAATTGAAACTAAATTCGAGTAACGAAGTTTGCCGCGAAAAGGTGATCTGTCTAATGTATGCTAGTCCAGCTAAGTACGCTCCTTACAGCAATTTAGTGTCGGCTCAGTTAAGTCGGTAAGTGCTAAACTAAATAGTGGGAAACATTCCAATTTTGCAAACGGGACTAAAAGTAGGCAACATTATTTTCAATACGCATATTCTTATATAGCTTTCGATATTTTATTAAGAAATTTACATAAGAAAAGAAAAAAAAAAAACGAGTATACGCCAAAGAGACCAACATACACTCATTGTATGTAAGCGCAGACGATTAAACGGAAATGCAACTATGCAAGCATTGGATTGGTTTGCTTAGGTTAAGTTAAAAAGAAGCACATAAGTACATACGCCCGCAACTCCTCAAGATCAACCAAAACCGGAAAAAAAATTCGTGGCGGTTTTCACCAATATTCATACATATTGTTTTAAGGTTTAAGTTAATGTTACTACGTCATCTTCCAACGACTTCTTTTTTTGTTTATCTTCTTGTCATCTAGCTTGTATTTCAGTACGACTTGGCAGAGGATTATGTAAGTCCAAAGATGTTGATGCAAAGTTTTACATAGATCCATTGTACTCGGCCCTAGTTTACGATTGCCAGGAGATATCGCTTAGAAATTTACTAGATATGTTAACAAAAACTGCCCAAAAAATCGGTGAAAAACAATTCTCAGCAGAACCGACCTTTTAAGAAAGTATTCGTGTAACGATTGGGTAGCATATAGCGAGATTTTATTGAGAGACGTTATAACAAACCGGTCATGCATATGATTAGCACAACCTTCCTTTCGTCTTCTCGTTAAGGATTTTGTCCGTCGTATGAATTTTTTTGAGAAATATTTAACTTCGCTGCTTATTGGCGCAAAGATGATAATTGGAAATAGGCGCCAACGCTACCTACGTATGTAGAATAATTTCGTTATATCAATAAAAACATCACTCAAATGAAGCAAAAAATCATGGGCCCTTACTGTGAAAGCTCAGTTGATTTTATTGCTATAACGTCTATCAAATAAATCAGTTCACTAGAGTTCTTTTTGTCGTCATAAGTTTTTTGTTCTCAAATTTAATTAAGCCTTTGGGAAAATAATCTTAATACATGTTATTTTTCCTTATTTTAAATAACTTTTCATTTTTTAGTACATTTACAAGAAACCTATCAGATTTAAGTAAAAGATTTTAGATTTTATTTTTGCATATCTAAGCAATCGTTGTTTACAGCTTTTGTAGCTTTTACTACATATTGCCTAAAGATTATAGAGGATTTCGATAAAAAAAATGAACGTTAGTTTGCAAGTGTTTTTTTATTCGCACAGGGACTGTCGACTATAAGCTACTTGCTGATAAGTAAAGGCAAGCTGTGAATATTATAAATTACTTAAGGGCCTTTTGGCATTACTTTTTATAGCTTGTTCTCTATCTTTGAAACAGTTTACTCATGTAACGAAGAGAAGTTTTGTTCATGATAGTGGAAAAAGATGAACAAATTTTTTTTTTTTTTTTTGTTTTTTTCTTGAAGAAAGAAAGAAAGAATAATGTGTTGAGAACAAAAGTATATTGCATTGTATGAGTGAAAATTAAGACGATAGGATAAAGTGAGTGCTTGATACACTCCAACCAATACAGATTTGAAGAAGAAGAAGAAGAACATTTTTATTTTATCTGTATGCGAGAAGAGTTTTAAATTTGAACGAAAAAAACTAATTCATTGTTTACTGTAAACTTAAAGTCGGACACTGCGTGAAAGCAAGCAAAACAGCTGAAAACACTGGAGAGGGACAAGGCCAACCATCAAACAGCTTAAACTACAGCCTAATAACATGTGTTATTGATTTGTGTAACAAAACATCTTATTCCATGTGAGGAATAAAATGCGAACTAACGTTGATAAAATTTATTTTCTTGTCAAACAACTTCTTATCCCTCAGCGGGTCGCGTCATTCGCTTCCATTTAATTTGAACTCCCATTCAAGCTACCTAAAAAGGTTTCTTTGGTTAGGTATGATGGCAAAGCTTGAGAACGAAGCTTAAAATATTGCATGTCTCGTTTAACGAGTTCCTTTTATATGACTTGCATGAAGGTCAGAAATGACGAAAACCTAAGTCTAATCGTTGTCCACAAGTAATACGTATCGGTATTTTTGTTTTGAAAACTTTGTTTAGGGAAAATGTGTTTAAATGTTTTAAAACTCAAGCGGATCGTGTTCACGCGTCTACAACATACTCGTTGTTAGCAATGAACTCAAATGAGACGACTGCAATAGATGCATACGTTATGCGTACGTATAGGTTTAGTAAGGATTTCAACCGAATTGAAATTGCTCCTCATCTCTTGTATCTTCTTGCATTGTTGTTATAATTTTTCTTTTTTTTTTCTATTTTATTTTTCTGTTCGATTTTTTACCATCGGCTTATATAAAATTTTAATATATTTTTAGGGAATTGAATGAGTTGCGTAAACCAACTTCAGATAATCCTGATATCCTCAGGTTCTTCAAGTACATGCGTGCTGCCAAGGACGGTCAGGACGGTACCGACTGCGAGGAGATATTCGATAGATGTACAGAATTCAAGGACTTTGAAAATCCAGCCATGGTGAATACCTATCATGATATCGACAAGTTGGTGCAAGCACGTAAACTCATAGCATAAGCGTACCGCATATGCTTTCGCTGTTCACAACGCCCTATGTAAACGTAAAATTATAACAAGGTTGTAAATAGGAAAATGAACATGATTTGTCTTGTGGCTATCTCCAAGCTATTGCTCCCTTGCGGATAGGCAGGCTTAAGGCAAACAAGCACGCACTTCATCCAGATAGCATTTATAATGAATGCAACCAACACGAGGAAAACTACCCCAAAACTACCCACAGTCTCATCGATATTCAAAATAAAATGCTGGTGGCCACTTTTCCACTTTGGATACTCGCGAAGCCGCATTCTTTTGCTTAGTAAAATAATTAATTTTTTTTTCTTTTTATTGTAATTGCTACGGTTTTGCTGTTAAGTCTTTTGTTTTCAACTTTTGACATGAGTCTAACAGCGAGGGCCTACGAAAAGCACGACTCTGATTGCTCGTATGTGAATTGTAATAAAAGACTATTCTATTTTCATTTAAGATTAAATTTAGTGTAATGTAAATAATTATGTGTGTAATTATTTTATGTGCTTTAGTATAATGTTACTTATAGTTGATGTGAATTAAGTTTTATTGCAATATTTACGAATATTTATTAAGTTATTTATTTATCTATTTAGTAGAATAAAGTAAATAAAAGCTTCATCCTAAAAAGAAAAAAAAACTATGCTACACAGTGGCGATGATGCTTAGCAACTCGATGCTGCCTGCATTAGCGCAAATTGTTTGATATTTTGGAGGTAGAATAGAAAATCTGCTATCGAGATATCGAATTTTTTGTAATGTTGACCTGGTAAGGAAATCAACAGGGACAGTGAACCAACTCATTGGTATGTTTACGGTGAGAAAGGTGTGGGCAGATAGTGCGAACTTGTTTCGAAGAGTAAAGGGAGGATATTTTTATTAGGAGAGTGCGCATAACAAAAGTATTGAATTATCTTAATTACCAAGGATTTAAGAATAACATTTTAATTTAACTTTAAATCTGCAAAAATTTTTCTTAGTTCACATAAAGTTGTTTTTAATTCTACTAACAACAAAATCTTTAAAAGGTAGTTATTATGTATGTAATTTCCTTATATTACTAACAATATATAGTAAGCATTGAGGTGAAGTGTTTATGCTGTGCAGGCAAAGCGAAAAACGCGTTAACTCATATGTGAAACCGGTTTTATTATTTAATTTATAGTCCAAACAAACATCGGGCGTTCGATTGTTTACAAAGTTCAAGAGAAATTGCATAACTCAGTCACTAGTGAACGTGTAAGCAAATGTGGGTAAGTGTAAGTGCACTCTCTTTAAATTACTCGCGAAGCCCCGACAGCACATGATGGATGAGTCATTTGTTTCCCTCTAACAACATACAACAAATTCATTTCATTGTTTCTCAATCGCGTGCTACTGATCGAGTTATTTTCGTGTCTTTATCTCAAGGCTTTTGCTAACGTCATTCAGGTTTTGGGGATTTTTCGAGATACAATTTCTTCACGAATCGTTACTATTTTTGAGAAAAGATGGCTATAATCGAAATATAAACATTTACTTTTCATAACTAACAGTAATCAAGATTTGAAAAAGTGCAGATGTACTATAAATTTTCGTTTCAAAGCCCTGAACTCATTGTATTCCTTATTCATAAGTAATAGTCACGTAAATGCACAACATATTTGCTAACTTTGCTAGGATAGGTTAGGAAATGAATGAATTTCACAAATTTCAGGTTAGAAAAGAATTCACTTATGTTAATTGTTCTTCTTTAATATCTTTTACTCTCTATATATCTAAAGTTATATCTCTTTATGTATGTCTCACTTAGCAGTTTGCGTAACGGCTTCCACTTAGTTTTGGGTTTAAATGGAAAAACTGTCAAATTTCTCATTTATCTCTTACTCCTTACCGTGATTACCTGAATGTTTTCAGTAACCATTTCAAATTTTCTTCATGTTTATCCATGTGCCTTATTGAATTGCTTCTAAGCGAACTATCAGAAGTGTATAGTAGCTAAGAAAAACCTACCGCAACGTTAAACACATTATTACATTGGCCTCTTTAAAAAAAATATAAACTCGCTCGTGTCTGAGACACTCTTTCCAGTCTAAGTCTGCGGCTGATGTTTACACAAAACGTATAGAGATGTTTGACATATTTCCTCTAAAAGGCGGGTTGCGTTTTTGGCAGCACGCTCTCTTGTTTTATTGCTTTCATGTTACCATGAAGCCTTGGTTTCGTTGGGGTTTATCCCACACTGGCTATGACTTAACGATCAACACATCAATGATCAGACTATTTTTGCTGTATTTTGCTCTTTTCTGGTAATTCGGATATAAATTCTGTGTCAGTAGCTGTGGACATTGCAGTTTATATTCAATCGAAATAAAGTGAAGTACTTTTTGCACTCCTTCCAATCATAAGGAAAATAAATATTTTTTACAGTTCCCTACACGAGTGTGTGTCACCAAAAAGTAAGTGAATTTAAATAAATTTTTATTAACTTTAAGCAAGAACCGAAAAAAAAAACAGTGACAATGGTTACCGAGAGTGTCTGGCTATACGTTTCTTAACATTTCCGCACTATCTTATGTAGTTTCTGAACGCCCGTTCAGGGTGATTTTCAGACACGAAAAATCATCAAATTACTTCGCTCCTCTCTTTGTATTACCGAAATGCGGAAGACTAACCCGCATTTTTCAAGTAAATAATAACTGATAAATAATGCAGCGATGGGCGATAACAAAAGCTGGCGCCTATGATCCGCCACAATTACCTAGAAATTCAGAGGGAATATCCAGCAACCTGGGTTTTATTAAACTTTGGGCTGAAATTTAGTTTCGTGAACTAAGTATCCACGCAAAGGATGAGTTTATGGTTACTCCTCACGTCGACTTACATAGATTATTAATGTCGGTTGCATTTTCCAACAAAGTATTTCAAAATACAATTAATCCCACAGAGTCCAAGAATTTGGAGCGATTAGATTAATTTTAGCGCCCGGGAAAGTGCTTACCGCAGACATTACCCAGGCGGCCACAGGAACAGACGGGCAGACGGACACGCTTGGATCGATTGAGAATTTGATTTTGTATTTCTTCAAAGTTTTGCTTCAAAGTTCTTTCTACACATAAGTGAAAGATATTTGAAAAGAAAATCCAAGCCACCCTCGCAGATGCTATCTTGTTAATAAACAAACACATGTTCAATTATTGAGAAGTGTAAACAAACATGTACGCCTATTCTCTAAAGTACCGAATTTTTATACGCTTACTCTCTTACTCTCCATCTTTTAGGAGCGCAAAAGGCTTTCTTCTCGAAATGGGGAGAAAAGTTTAATTATTTGTAACTTTTCTTTATGAATCAGTCCTGGAGCTCTTTATCACATTTTTACACATATTGTGCCCACATCCACGTTACTTGATTGCACATAAATTCATGTGTGCGTATAAGCATACATGTCTGAAGGCAAGTTGGTTTAAAACTTTATATTTCCATTTGTTACATAGCAAGAATCAACATTTTCAAGAAAATTGAAACATAGTTTCAGGGGGAAACAATAAATGTACGTAAAACAGAAGGGTACAAGTCTGCATGCAGAGAGCAATGGAGTGGTTCAAATTTCTCGCGCCATAAGGCTAATATAACCTAAAGGTTTGTTATCTTCTCTTGTTGCTTCACGCAAAAAAAAAAAAAAAACTAAATTAAAGATAAAGTTTCACTTGAAAAGCAAATATAATGAATTTTTGCTTAATTATAATTAATCGTATGTGGCGGTCACTTGGCATGACCAAAGGGAATATTAATAAATACACTTTTATGCACTGTCTGTTTTCTTTTGATATTTTTAAAGCTCCAAGACCTAAATGAGAAATCAACTAAGCGAGAAATCAAGAACACGACTCATCCTCAAACCTCCTTAATGTTTCAAAAAAAAAAATCGAAGTAGCTTTGGAAAAAAGCTGTGAGTTTTACTTCAATGAATATCTTACGGTTTGTAGGACTTACCGATATAAGCCGGATAAAGGCCGACTACCTTGTCTAGGCGAATAAAGAACTAAACGAGTTTTGCAATCTTAAGCAAACTTTGCTTCGTTATTAACCAGAAAAATGCACAGTTATTATCTTAACGATAATTACTGTAAATTTGAGCCAAACTACCCTTAAAATCAATCTCTCATATTTCCAACGCTCTGTAGTATGGCTTCAGTCAATAACCTTATTATTCGTTTTAACGGAAATCGTGCAAAGTATGAAAGAGAGAAACAACAATAGAGCGCAATGTGCTTTTGAAACAGTAGTTTAAAGCAAAGCAAGCAAAGCAAGCAAAGCGAAATACATAAACCGTCATTAGGCAGGCATACGTAAGCGGCACTAACAAATTGTAATGAAAAAGCCACACGAAACTTTTACTTTCATTTTTTAATAATTTCGTTTTTAAGCTGCTACGCAGGAAAGGGTATAAAAGATAACGAAAACATACGATAACACGCGGAGCATACAATGACGGATTAAAGTTTTTTAAGTAAAAGCCGCAACAGTGCGTCCATGAAAAGAAATTAAAGCATATAATAGCATAAAACGAATGCTTATTTACTTAATATGTAGTGGAATTTGTTTAGCGTCAACTTTGCTACCGAAGAATAGGGTATATTAAGCTTATCGTTTACTTTCCAACACATGAAAATCGATTTTGGAGATCTCGGGAAGGGCAAGAGTTACATATGGGGTCTTAAGATTCCGATTCGTAGTAATAGCGAGCGTCTGTCTGTCTGTCCGTCTCATCTTGCCCACAATGAAGGAAAAAACAGAAACCAGATATGTTTTGATGGCACCGCGTATGGCGTACGGCAAGAAGTACAACACAAATGCTGACGAGGGACGAGTACACCAGAATTTGATGACATATACATCAATTTTGATGTGCTGGCTTTGACGTTTTATGGCTTTCGACGAAATGCCTTCTTTTGAGATTTGAGTGTGATTTCCTTCTTATTTTTTCGTCTCATTTGAGAAACGATGATTGTTCTAATAATACGGGTTAGCCTAAGCGATTTTTAATCTTTGTACTGAGAGTTTCGTTTGATCGCATATTCTATTGTTTATGGAGATGACTAAATTTTCGTTTCATCTTAATACAAGAACTATGCAAAATAAAAATTCTTTAAAACGCTTCACTTTCTACCTTCATTTTTAAAATTTGATAACATTTTCGTTGGAAAAAATATTGTTATGTTTATGAAATTATGAAGTTTTTCGTTAGATGTAGAAAATAAAACCAAAACCTTTCCTTGCTGTATTTGTTTTCTTCTTTTTATTTTTTTTCATACACGAAACTTGTTTGGCTCGAGGGAAAACAAATGGTTACTATTTATTTTCAATTATACACATGAAATGTTGGGAGCAGTGCACTTCTAACACCAGTCAAGTTTAACAACATTAAAAATAAGTGAAGAAAAGAAAAAAGTTCATTTTCACTGCAAGCAAAGTTTAAAGGCATACTGGGAATGAAAGCTGACGCATCGTGTGCATGGACTTTTAATTTTTGAAAAAAGATTTCTAAGATGACCTTTGCACTTTAACGCATTTCTTAATAAATAATTTTGATTTGCATTTTCTTATTTTCTGCTAATGTATTATACATAACAGTATGCCATTGTTTTGTTGTTACATAATTCATAGCAGCCAAGAAAACCTAATCCGCCCCCAATTGATGAAAAATTGAAAAAATCTCATAAAATCAAATTCTTACAATGCTCTCCTTGGTTTCGGCAAGATTTACTTTAAATAAATATTTTATTCATTTTGCCAAAAGACGAAAAAGTCGAAATTGAGGCCAGCGGGAATCTTCCTTTTGCAGTTATGTAGCTTTTAGTATTAAAACATTCATTCTCAGTCTAATGTTATTTGCCCCGTAATGGCATTTTTTGCTCACTTGCAAGTTAAATAAGTTTTCAATGTCGATGAATTATTAAAAATTAATTATGTAATTGTTTTCAGTTTCTTTTCTTATTGCAACAGAGGCTAACAGAGATGACGGCATGCTGCGGCATGACGAAGTGAGAACGTTAACCCTTTAGGCTATGTCTTACGCAAAAGCACTTTTGCGATATTCCCTCTGTGCAGAAAGTTTTTCTGTATTTTCACACAGCTCTGCAATAACAGATAATGGCAGAGACAATGGAATTTTATTACGTCCATTACAAGCAGTTACATATAGGATTGAAACTAGATAAGCAAAGAAAAAGAAAGTTATCTCATAACATTCAACCATATTCGGATCGAATACATTGCAGCTCATTTTTCTTTCTTAACACATGCAAGATGAGTCTGACTACAGCTGAACGTAGTAAAGAATCTTTTTGTATTTCTTTGGCCTCTTAATAAAAAAAAAAGAAAAAACATTTTTTTTTTCTAATGGGGGTTAAGTAGTTTTCCGATGAGAAACAAAAAAAAAAACTCCAGTTGATTTTGAAACGTGCAAGTAAAGTCGTTTATCTCCTCCTACTCGGTTTTCAAGTGACAGCAATCACTCCAAAACCTATTACCATATTGTAAACAATGGACCAATGATTGAGATTCATCACATTTTAACTAAAGGCTTACGATTTGTATTGTGTTTTTATATAGATTAGTAGCATACACACACATGAATACGTTTGTTTTTATTCAATGGTGAGATCACCTTGGCAGTGGTAATATAAAGCGCCTCTTAAATAACTGTTTATTGGCCATGGTCTCGTGAACAATACCACAAAAATTCAACAGTAAATAGAGCAAACAATCTAAAGCGCTTTTGTAACGTAACGCGTGTTAGTGTAATAGCCGATGTAATATATATATATATATATATATATAAGTGAAAAGCTAGTATATCTTTATGCCTATATGTATGAATGAATGAATGCTTTAAATGAGTAAAAATGTGAATAAAATAACCCACCACACACAACCACCACTCCACTGCTACTCTACACTTCTGAGGTTTCTACTATTATCACGTCTGAGATGCTGTTAGCGTATGTGGTTTGGGCAACTAAACAATTTGTTGTTCAGTCAGCAACAAACTGTACTCAGGTAAAATTCTCTGCACATTCGTTTCATATTTTGTCTCTCGAGTACGCTTCACATAGCTAAACTTTTAATATATTTCGTTTTCTCTTACTATCTTAAAAGTGTTGTACAAAACGTCGCAAACGAAAAGGAAAAAAAATCTGTCAATCAGATAAACAAACCAAAGACTTCATAGTGCTTGTAGAGAAAAAAGAAAGTAAAAACAAAACGACGAAAATCTCGTTATTAAAATTGATAATTACAACAACTAGTGTTGAAGCGACAACGAAACTTAATTTCACTGTATGTAAGTGCGTTTTATATATGCGAGTGTCTTATCTGTTCGCTTGTTTGTTTGCTACTTGAATTGCAAGTTAAGTCTTTTTCACACAACTAGATGTAGTTCACATGAAGATGATGTTGTTTAAACGTCTGCTGATTGATAACAGATCGTTTCCCCGTTTGATGGCTACGAAGAGAAGAAAGTGTGTCAAAGAGATATTGCTAATGTAATGGACAATATTTGGCTGCTCATACATATACAGGCCTATGGACATTTGTACTCCAGTCTCTCCCTAGGATTTCCAAAAAGGAAATTTTCACAAATCTTTTGGAAATAATTTAACATTTTCTAATCGCGCACCTAAATATGCCTTCACGTGTCCAGAGGCCACAGAGAGAAGTAAAGCACTGAGATTCTAACTGTAACCGCTAGAATTTCAGATATTAAGTATTACGCGGCACTCCGAACAGTCGACGGATTTGCCATTTCTTTTCTATCGCGCAGTTATCCCACTGAAAGCATTTGTATTCTTAATGAACTTAAAATTTCGACCTTAAACGTCCGCCTGTTTAGGGTTTGTTGGCGAAAAGTATTGCTCTTGAAGTTGAGATAAAAAAAAAAGAAGGCGCTCGTACAATTTCGAAGAAACGGCAGAGACCTAAAAAATCCAAGTTTTGAAAATCTTCCTATCAGCAACAGGCAGTCTTCAGTACCGAAAAAGCGATCTGGAACTTTTCCCAGCTTAATAGATAAATATGTCTGATCGGGTAAATGAAGCGTATAAGTAATGAAAAGCTTTGCGTGTTTCTGCGTTCAAAAATACTTTCGGTCTTACTTTTTCCAAGCAGTGGGCACAATATAATGTTTATCAATGAGACAAGATAGAGAGCCGTGCACGACTGTCGACTCCAGAGAAAATATCTCCCATTAACTCGTACGGTTAATGCTATGTCTCCAGTTATTTAATGTCTGCTCTTCTTGTTCCAATTTAACAAACAATGTACTTTGGATTGGTGTACGTCTACTGCATTATACTCTAGACTGCCTTTCCATAAAACAAATATTATCGTTAGTCAGTCAAATGGTTATTTGTAATTAACTTATATAAAAGCTTTCATTTCATATGTCTTCTTTTTTTTCAGTCATGGAATTATCTATAAAGGCGTTGACGAGTTTAACATTTGTGTTAATACTGTTCATTGGGCAAACTTCAGCGGAAGGTCTACGTTTACCAGATCAGTCGCCTGGTGCTAATGCAAAATCTAACGAGAATCAATCGCAACCTTCACAGCAAATTTTCTTCACACCTCAGCAACAACAACAATATCAACAACAGTTTCAGCAGTCACCAGTCGATCTGGGTGAAGCACGTGGCCGTTCTTCGATTCTTAGCATATTTGGTTTGGGTCAGGACAATGATCCTTATTTGGCACGAAGTAATTCCAATTGTTTGAGCGGCGACTTTTCGGAATGTTTCAAAACGCAAGCCTTAAATAGTTTCGATGAGATATTCTATCGCGAACAATATCCGTAAGTGCTTGCAAAAACAAAGGCGATAGAACAGGCGATAAACATTTTCCTTTGTATCCTTTCGTTGACAGGTTAACCGATTTTGCCCGTATTGTGCGAATGCCGGAAACCCAGCAGCGGTCATTGCTGCGTGAACCTTTCGAGTATTCAGAGGAGCCGCGTAGCGGAGACAGCGACTGGGACCAGATGGTCAAGTATGCTTTGCGGAGAGCAGAAAGGTGAGCAAATGGTTCATTTAATTCGACTTTTGAGTCATTCACACCTCGCCTAGTTTATTATATATCCTCTATGACGTTTTCGTTCGTGTCTGTCCTTCTTTGACAGATTTATTAAGTCCACCGCTTTGGAAGTAGAAGTGCCCGAAGAGTACACTGAAGCCGGCCGTTATCAAGCCCGTTTCATAGGCAGCGATATCGACAGTGAATTGGATATTATTGAAGACAAACATGCTCCCATTATAAGTAAATTATTTGAGTTTTCAGAGTAACACTTTAAAGGTCTTTCTGATTCGTCTTCTATTTTTTCGCACAGAACGTAAGAAGCTCAAGAAGATGATCATACCGATGCTGTTGATCTTGAAAATCTTCAAATTGAAATTATTATTATTTTTACCCTTCATATTGGGTATTGTTGGCTTGAAGAAAATTCTTGGCTTGGCTGCTATCGTCTTGCCTGGTCTCTTTGCTTATTTCAAATTGTGTCATCCGGGAAGTGCAACGGGAGGGGGTATATTCTCTGGTTTATTTGGCAATAAGAATACATTTCCTGAATATTCTTCGCAAGGCGTGGGTTCGGCTACATATTATCATCATCATGAACATTTTGATCGCCCATCTCACGATCACCTTTATCGACCGGATCCGCATTTTTCCAAGCCATACCATGATTACTACAAAAATGGTGCGTCCAGTAATGCTGTTAGTTTCGGTGATGCTGCCCATGAAGCTGCCTACTCCGCCTATTATGGCCGAAGTTCTGATAAAAAAATCGAAAGTACGCAAAAGACCTAAGAGTTTTGCATCTTGAGAAAATTTCATCTTCATTTGTTCAAATTCCCTGCCATGCTTCACTTAAGCACGAAAATTAGTTTTAATTACTTGTAAATATTTATTTATTGTTTAAGAGACTCTCCTGAATAGTTTTTTTAAGTTACTTCATTGCAATATTGTGAAATGTCCATTCGATTGGAAAGCAACATAAATTTTAATGCATTTGGAATGAGTCTTTCGACTTGTCCGAAATGTATATCTGAATAATATAAGCGAAATGAAAAGTTAATGTGATCTATAGAAGAAACTTGGATTGGATCCATTACAATTTGCAAGCAATGAAAAACTTAGGAAGGATATAAGATCAGAGAAGTAAGCAAAATAATGAAAAGTGCTCAAGAAGCAATTGTAAAGTAAATCGACTTGTACTTTTTATCTTCTTACCGCTCTTAAGGCGAACTTTTACGATACTAAGGGATTGGATTATTAGCGAAAGTATATGAAAATTTTTCGAGCCTTTCTCAAAGTGCGTAGTTGCTATTTAATTGCTTTGTGTTTGCGGACATGTATGCTGACGAATCCATAGTAAATTCAAACTTGCTTCCTGCATGCAAACAAGAGTATGCTCGCAAGGTTATATGTTTTCATCATTTAAGAATTGTATTAGTAGATGAGGAAGGACTAATATTTATAGACAGCCTGATTTGGTGAGGTATTTGTGCTATATTTTTACCGAATAAGAAAATGGGCAATGAAGGGCGGAAAGTATTCATACATTTGTCAGTGAATGTTTTCTATTTATTTATTTTTATTGTTTCGTCATAAAGCAACGGCTATATAATCCATTATTTCCTCATTTGAGGCTATATACATAAAATTGATTAATATTATGATATGACCAGAAAGTTATTCGAAAAGATCCTACGAGTTAAGATTATTTCAGACATAGATATGTGCGTGTATGCCTTGGGATAATATAAGTGGCAGCTTTACGAAGGTTGGTGTATTGCATTCGCACATAGGTGTTATTTATCGCCGCGAAATTGCAAGTCTATGTAACGACAGCTGTGAGTCTCATTGCTTGTTTCGTTTGTTATTCGTTCGAATAACAAGTACACCAACTGAGTTGAAAACGGGCCGTCCGCCAGAGATGACTTTGATATAAAATTAGGATATTTTATCAAACACTAAGCGATTGCTATGTGTACCGATCAAAAAGTAAATTAAATGAAAAATGAAAATTTGTACAAATGTTGTGTCAAACAAAAGTTAATTCCATCGGCTTACTATTATATAAAATGTTTGATAAGACATTTAGATCGATTGTATATATGTGAGAAAATATATATATAACATGTAGTGGTGATTATGGAAACTTTGCACAACTATTTCAAATATTTTTTAATAATACAATTCTAACAATTTATAGTATATACATAACAATTTCAATAAATTTGCAAAAATCAAAAAAACAAAAAATAAGAAAAAAAAGTCGGTCAAGGTTGGCAGACTGCTATGCTAATGCAAAGAACGAAATGCAGAAGAAATTGTTTGAAATGCTCTCTGTTAAGAAATCGAAAGCATTTTGTTTACTTCAAATTTCAAATTAAAAGAAAGTAAAAGTTTTACCATAACTGTTTTCTTCGCCAAGATATTATTGTTTAGTCGCTCACAAAGTTTTGTAAAAATGTCAGAAATGCCTGTGTATTCATTGTCATTAACACCCCAACAACTCAACTGCAGGTGATGTTTTAAGCAAATAACCAGCTTATCATCGGCAACATGTACAGATGAAAACGAAAAATAAAAGAAAAGAAAAAGAAGAAGAAGAAGAAGAAAAAAAAAAAAACTGGACACACTCGACAGACCGCATTTTCCAAAAGAAAGCGTTTAACTTGTTTCGAACCTGATCATGTGCACTGAAGTTTGATCATAAGAAATGTAGGAAAACAAACTGCCGTTGCTTTTAAGATATCTTTGCTGCCTACCTTTACAAAAACGTATATTGACAATTTTGAATAGGTTTGTAACAACAGCGTAAGCGTAATCGCCATCAAAAGTAGTTTACAACCCTTTCAATTAAGTAAAGAATGCGCGAAGCAAACCTAAAACAATAGCTGTTGGCAAAAATGTAGCTTCCCTTCTGACCTTTTAGTTGATTATTTCCGCGTTGCTGCCGTAGTCGCTGTAAGTAATCCATGCGATATATCTGGAGTTATGTCTACGAAGTAGAGGGTAAGGAGAATAAAATTTTACATTGTATACGAAGTAGGCTCGAAAACAAACCTTATAGCGGATTGCATATAACAACGCGAGATGTTGAACAGACGTTGATTTGCATATCGGCTCGAAGGATTATTAGCGTCGTATCGATCCAGATTAGCAGATGGTGGGTATCTAAAATGCTTGGTCTTACGCACTCATTTCATCTTCGAGCACAAAGTAAGAGTTTCTGCATATCTTGTGCTTTGCATCTTGTTATACGTACTCTACATACGTCGTCGTAAGGAAAACAAATTTTGTTCCTTTCCTGCCAACTTTTAAGTGCACTTGAATGGGAAATATTTTGTGCATATGTGAATATTTTTGTCATGTTTTTGTACATGAATACTTATATATATATATATATATATATATATATATAACATGTTTTTTTGCATACACATGTGTGTCCGACATTTCTTTCTTTCACAAGCCTCTTGTTTACGATTTTGTCTTGGTTTTTTCGAACTTCTTCTTGTTTTACAAATTCTTGGTTATTAAATATCAAATACAGATGACCCACATTAAATTCATGTTCTTCTATATTGTGTGAATATTTTCTCAACTGTAAACTAAATTAATGGGAAGAAACCAAATACCGAGTTTAAGCCGAATTTCTCAAATTTCTAAAAAGCAGAAAACATGTGTATCACGTAATGTAACAGAGGCACAACAATAATCGATGTTCTTCCCAACCATTATTAAGACTTTCGTATATGTGCAAAATATATACTTCTTGTTACTCTTGCACTAATACGAACAACACTTAATCTGAATCTGGAGTATACGGGGAGGAAGTCACATTCTGTGTGGACCAAATTTTTTAAAGCCCATCACCAGGTCCTGCACACAACACATGCAACCTTTGATTTTAGCTTGAAGCGCGTGTCAATTTAATTGACATGCGATCAACATTGTGCACTGGAACGTTTACATCGCATGCATTGTACGCTCTCATAGAAATTCAATATATCTTCCTGTCATATGTGAATAACGTATGTCGTAACATCAATGAGCAGATACCTTAATTTATACTAGATTGACCAACCACTCGATTCCAATCACTTCCGATGTAATGTAATTACATCTGCAGAGTTGCGTGCAATCCACTTATATGTCATAAGTTGATAGCTCTTAAAATCGCAAACTTTTGAAATGAGAATCCATCGCCGGCGCCATAAGAGGGAAAGAGGAAAAATTTTAAAATGCAATGAAGTGTGCGCCTTGTAGATATTTCTGTTTGTATTAAAAATTAAAAAAATATTGTGACGCTTTTCAATTAAAAGCTTCGAGCAAATAAAACCCGTACACGAACACGATAATAAACAAGTGAAAACATTATAGTCGGGCAAGACCAACCATCGAACACTCTAGAGATTCGAAAACCGGAATCGACGAGCTGTAAACTTGATGTAGTTAATTTTAGTTTGTCAATAATAAATACGATTACATAGGAAGCGACCTGAAAGATTCGTCAATGTGGTCCAAGTATACCGCAAAACCGCTATTCTGGAGCAATTCCTAGTGTAAAATCCTAGCAATTCGATATTGTTGTTATATATGAAAGGGACGTAATGTTTGTAAGCCCTTTTATGTGGGACGGGATGCGAATTATAGTCGCATACAATCCCACTTTCCCACGTCTACTTTATATGATGTTTATATTTTTTATATAAATGCTTGTATAGCGAGTGGTCATAAGAACTATTCGATCCCATCCCATCCATTTTGAATAGCGTTTATCCCTAGGCTAAAACATACAATAGATTTCGAACATCGCTCGCTAATGCAAAGTGTGTTATGTGTTTATAGCAATTTTCTAAATGCTATGAGATGAATGCACCAAGATATCACAGAATAAGAAAACACCAGAGATTGTTATGTTCTCGAGATGTTGACAAAAAGTGGTCTTAAGGCTTTAAAACTGACAACGAACATGATAAAATGAAAGGAAATTTATTTTGAAATAAATTATATAAAATTTTCTACGAGTACAAGTAGGATAGTACACGTGCATGGTGCATGGGTACTTATGAACGCCTAACTTGCCAAATCGATTAACTCCGCCAAACCGAAAGTAGAGAAAAGTAATAAAATTGTTTATTAATATTTTTTTATATCGTATGCTTAGTAATGTATTAGTATTTGACTTTTAATTACTTTCTTATAAAAAGTATTTTAAATAAATTTTTATTACAATTTACATAGGAGTGTTAATGAGTTAGTTTCTAAAATAAATTGATTTTCATAGCAATGAATTATCATTTTGTGTTTTTAATGCTTCTTATTAGAGAAATTCGCTTTGAATATATACAACGTGGGACCGATCAATTACTTTAACATTAAACTCGCAAAAAAGAAAAAGCAACGAACGATTTGGTCAGAGAGAGACATTCATATACAACAACTTGTGGCTATGCTGGCGACAACACTGGGATTAGAAAAGACTTTCGAGTAATAATACCACAGCATAGCGAATCATACAAAGGTATGTTGCTGGAAAACTGCAAAGCTGGTAATCATTTCGCGAATTTTTTTCGCTTCTTCTTCTTTACAAAGCGATTATATCGCCTATTTTAGCTGTTGAGTATAAAGGATTCATTGTCGATGAAGCTTATGCTCACCGCAGAGGAGGTCCTTTAGTGAAATTTATGTGAACTTTTCAAGTTCAATGCATCTTATATGCGAGTAATATATCTACAATGTAACTTGAGATTTTTTGCCTATGGCGGGCTTTGTTTCCGAATGTCACATAGACAATGTATTTCATCGAATCGCTTTTGCGTATTTCTACGGGTTACAAGAAGGAAGAGCGAAGTGGGAGGAGGAATCCTTTAAATTGCCATCTTCCTGAGATCAAATTAGAGAGGCACGAACTTTGTTTGATTGGTGGCAAATGTCTTCGGTCCCACTCCCATGCGATAAGAAGATTGCAAACTTATCATGTAGTTTAAAACTAATTTATTTTTGTTTTCTTAAATTACTTTATTTCAATGTTTATTTAGCTTCTTTTTACTTATTTAAACTTCTCGCATCTGTATTGTTATACTATGCCCTTTGGGTAAACAAAAAGTTCTCTCATTTTCCTCTTTTTGCTTCAACACTTTGTTTATTGCTTTGCTTTGCTATTGCTGTCTTTTTTGGTAGATTTTTCATTAATTAATTATGCAATATGTGTATTTTGAAAATGAAGAAAATAAGTTCAAATTGATGAGTGCATGTGGAAGATAATGAAACAATCAACCGACTTTATTGACGCCTGATAAAGTTAATAGTTAAACCCGCCAACAAAGCTCATGAAAATTTCTTCCCCTCTCTGCCCTGGTTTTCTTTCCTCTTCAAACATTATCAATTCTCATTTCAGATATATTTCAATCGATGCGCAGCTTTCATGCCCTTTAGACGCTGGCATTGAGAAATGTCTCGATTCCTAGATTACTTCAAAAGTTACGCTGCTATTCCTAGTTTGATAACTGCAAACACCTTGTTATCCATAAGACAAACCATTTTAAAAAGAAGAAAAACCATTCCGACTATGAAATATTATGCAGCAACAAACTGATTGATCATCGTTGGTGTAAGTTAAAGTTTTAATTTGTGCCAAATCGATTCACAATTCTCAACACTTCGATGTATTAAATATCCAGTGGTAGTGTTGTTGCAACACCACGCTGCCTACTTGGTTATCACGTATGCTTTTACGCGCGCATCTTAAGCACGGCTGCCTTCGAACATCCGCGCCTCTAACATATGTCCGTGTTTTACTATTACGACCAATATACGTCGGTGTATTTATTTAGATGGGCATGGTTGTACGTTATGTTATAGTCACTAAAAAGAGCGAGATTCCTTTGCACTAACAAAGTATTTGTATTGTTCGAAAAGATCACCAAAAGGGAAACTTTAAGTAACGAAGACAACGGTTCGAAACGTGATACTTAGCTCTTTTTAACTAATTATTACAAGAACTACTAAAAGCCGAAGAAGATAATTTGTAGACCAAAGATTCAGAAAATATCTTGAAGAGATTTCGATCTGCATAAAGATCTGTACATTGTTGTTTTGCAAATTTCTTATCTTCGATAAATAATAACTTTTGCTGCGACCCAAATAAATAACAGTTTTTAATTGAATTTTTTAAACAGCCACACACGCATGTGTTATACTTTCTGGTTAAATTGGAAAGACAAATTAGAATATAAAATGAATAAATAAACGAATGTGATGAAGAATTTATAATAATAGCAAGATTAATAACAACAACGATAAGTAAATTTCACTATTTTCACAGACACAATTTTCAATGCATAGAACACTAGATAGAGCAGAGGGAGAGAAAGAGAGAGAAAGAGAGAGAGACTTTCGAGAATTTGCATAGTTTTCTAAACACTTTCCGCCTCGAAATGTTTGTTATTGTGAATGTCTCGAGTCTTGAATCTCATTTCGTATGCAATGCATGTGTGCATGTGCGCAGACATGTGGACGAGCGCTCTATGTGAGTCAAAGTTTTTTGAACACAGTACGGTAAACGTCACAGAGATACGTTTGTTTATTCATATAAACTGCACGTGACAGTTGATTGTGTGTTAATTTGGAAAATAATCTTATAAACTCCTTGAACTTGAAAAACGAGTCACTACTGCAAGACACACAATATTAAGAAAACAGCAAACCGAGCCAATCGCCATAAATAGCGAATCAAGGTGGATGTCTGTCTCATGTTTTTCTTTTTGGTGGCTGCTTTGTATTAAATCGTTGTATACGCGTTGGATTGGGAAAATTTATGTCTTGCTTTTAGAGGCTGAAATAGAAAACAATCAAAGATGGAAAAGAGTTTCCATTAAAGCCGTCTTGGAAGCAGTAGTATTCGTAGTAACAGTTGCAGTTGTAGTGGTAGTAGTCGTAGCAGCAGTTAGTAGTAGTAGTAGTAGTATAAGTTATATGACTGTGTGATCTTAAGCCAGTTTTCCTCTACACTCCACTTTCCTACACTCCATTTTCCCAATAAACAAAACTGAAAACAATAATAAGTAGAGAAAAAAATAAAAACTAAAAAAACTAAATAAATTGCAGTCAACGCAAGTCTCTGTTTTGATTCCTCGCCAGTCTTGCGTCGAGTTCATATAAAATCTTAATCACACTTACAAAAATTCGCATTAAGTTTTCTTATATCACGACGATGTCATTGCATCCTGTACGCATTACACTCGCTTAGCGCGCACCGGTAATCAAAAGCAACCCATAGAGAGTTGAGACGCGAGTGTTATAAAAGCCATAAATGCTTCTTTTTTTTTTTTTTTCTTGAAAAAAGGATAATTCAAATACTGTTTGGATTATATTTAAATGGTCATTAAAGTGATTTGTAAAGCAGACCATTAACAGAAGTGATTTAATTATACGAAGAGGGTCGAGGAACTCAAATCTATCGAATATTAACAAACTTGGAATAAAGTCGATACTACGAGAAAATAAAAAGAAATTTATTTTTCTTTAGCTAACACTACCAAACCAAAAAGGAACAAACAAAGCAACAAACATGAACGCAATAACAATTGTGTGGATTTTACCATTCTGCATAGTCCTGACAGTGCGCGCCACCCCAGCCATTAGTTCGAACGATAACACGGTAATTATCAACGCGATACTGCTAACGAACTATTAATGTCTTATGTATGCGTGGTTCTGTTCTTTGAATAAACATAAAAAATAAAATTTTTCACCCTCACATTTGCTTAAAGTTGAAAGTAAGAAAAAACTAATTCGAACGGTTTCCGCGCTCGTGTTCGATAGCTCCGGTTTTGAAAGTTTTCCAGTTTTGCCTCAAGTAATTTTACCGAGAGAAACAATTGACTTTTGATTAAGCGAACAAATTATTATCGCTATGCAAATCGATAAGAATTCCGGTCAAAGAATGTAGAGGATAAAATTCTAACTTTTATTCGAGCCTATCAGTGGCAGAAGGCATTCAACTTATTACCTTTATGTTATCTCGTCTTAAGTAATAACTAAAAGTATTCAAGTCTTTATCTCAAGTTTGCCACTTTGGGGTCCAAATTGGAGTCAAATTATGACTTGTGACTGGTTAATTTGTCGAACGAAAAAATCAGAATCGTTATGCTCTTGTTGCGTCTGAGGGATAAAAAAGTATGACAAAGTCCACAAACCACCACTTGGTCTGTTCTTTCTGCCAAAGAGCAACGAACAAAGAATGGTTATAGCCCTAATCCACGTCGAACGCGCGAGTTACTTTTATTATGGAAATTAATTTTTCTAGAGAGGATACCTTTTTAAACCGTCATAAAAAACTTCAAGGTTTCATTTTTGACAGCAAATTCTAATGCTCCAAATTTTCTGGCACGCCTATATTGCCAGGAATGTAGACATCATTGAAAACATGTCGTTCGTAATGCAAGCATGTATGCATGATTGTAAGCTGTAGAGCAACTCGCTACAGGAAAAGATTGTAAATTTGCAATTTTTGTTACTCAAGTCAGTCATAAATTGCAAATTTTTAAAGTCGGGTCTTGTAATAGTTGTCCACCCAAAACCAGAAGTGAAAATTTAGCTCAGAAATAATGGCAAGTACAAGCTTGCTTGCTTGCTTGGTATTCGATAAAAATATTTGGTTTAAATTTCTTTCAATTCATGGATTTACTTAACGCCAATTGCATGTTTTCCAGAAAGTACATAAAAATCGGTTAAGCATTCTATTTTATTGCCAACATTAGACTAGCAATAGCGAGCAGCTTAACTGACTAACTGATGTTCAAATTGATTTGCAGTTTCAGTTGAGATTACACAGTTTCGAGTATGTATGGATTTCCATGAGTAGGATATTTCCAAGTGTTACATACGAAATGATAAACTAATTATACACAACTCTTTTTACCGTAAATGCGAAAATCCTTACCCCGCAGAGATGAAAACAAATCCTGTTTAAGGAGGTATATGAGAAAGAGACTTTTAAATGAATTTATTTGTTTAATATTCTGCACA